GGCAGCGGTCGGCCTTCCCTCCGGCCACGGCCACCGGCTCCTCTCCATCCCCGGTTTTAGGCCAGGTAAGCAGCTGGGGGCGTGGGGGTGGCGCATGCTGGGGGGACCAGGATGTGTGGGGGGCGCGCATGCTGGGGGGACCAGGGTGTGTGGGGGGCGCGCATGCTAGGGGGACTGGGGCATGGGGGGGCATGCTGTGGGGACCGGGGGTGTGTGGGGCACATGCTGGGGGGACCAGGGTGTGTGGGGGGTGCGCATGCTAGGGGGACTGGGGCATGGGGGGGCATGCTGTGGGGACCGGGGGTGTGTGGGGCACATGCTGGGGGGACCAGGGTGTGTGGGGGGTGCGCATGCTAGGGGGACTGGGGCATGGGGGGGCATGCTGTGGGGACCGGGGGTGTGTGGGGCACATGCTGGGGGGACCAGGGTGTGTGGGGGGTGCGCATGCTAGGGGGACTGGGGCATGGGGGGGCATGCTGTGGGGAGCAATGAGGTCAGCGGGTGCCTGCGGCTGCCGTTTACAAGGAGCCTCATCGGATGCGCCCAGCTCCGTCCTCCGCCCGCCTTTCGCCTTTCGGGAGCCCGGGGGTGACCTCCCGCCTGGCCGGTCAGGGGCGCGTCTTGAACAGGGAGAGGAGGACATAGTTGCAGGGCTGGGAACACACTGACACAGGAAGGCTCTGCACAGTGGGGTGCAGGGGCGGGGTAAGTGGTCCCGAGCACTGTTTAGCGTCACGGCGCTCTGCACAGTAGGGCGCAGGTGGCGGGTAAAGGCGCCGCCCTGTCAGTTGTGGTTTAAGATTCTGTGATGCTTCCATGCTTTACTAGGGAGTGAGTGCCTCCCTGCCTCTCCAGCCTCGGCTCCTCCCACACTCCCTGGCACCGAGGCTGCAGCCCCCTCCCCCTGGGCCCCTTGCAGAGCTGCACCCCGAGGCCTTTGCTGGTGCCCTGGGTTTCACTTCAAAGCAGACGGTGCCCTGGCCTCGGCCTGGAGGGCCCTTGCTCCGAAGCCCTGGCTGCCGCATCCTGGTGCTTCAGGGCCCGGTGCCTGCCCTGTCCTGATGTCCCCACCGCCAGGCCCCGTCCGTCCCTGCCCTGTCCCGTGTCCGGCTGGACCCTCTGTGCCACCTGCCAGGGGGCATTCGCAGCTGCTTGTGTCTCTTTCTTCCCCGTGAATTGTGGGTTTTAGTGCCACACTGTCCCTTTTTATCGCACTTTACGGCTTATAAAGGGTCTTATCCCGAGGTACTTTGGGGAGGCAGGTTGGCATTCCATCCTTGTGGTGACCCCTGTGTCCTGCAGAGGGATGGCCAGTAAATGCGATTGCAGCGGACACGGGAACGGCCAGCAGCTTTGGCCGCCACATTGGGAAACAAACAATTCCTGAGACACGAGGTGTCTGTAACCTGCCGTCTGCCTCGGGCCCGGATCCCACCGTGACAAGGGTCCTCGTGTCGCCCCCCAGGGTGAGAAGGTGGAGGGGCTGCAGGCGCAAGCCCTGTACCCCTGGAGAGCCAAGAAGGACAACCACCTGAACTTCAACAAAAACGACGTCATCACGGTGCTGGAGCAGCAGGACATGTGGTGGTTTGGAGAGGTGCAGGGCCAGAAGGGCTGGTTCCCCAAGTCCTACGTGAAGCTCATCTCGGGGCCCACCAGGAAGGCGGCCAGGTATTTGTGTCACGTGCTTCTAGTCGAGGAGACACTGTTAGCCTTTCGGTTACTGTTTGCGTAGTTCGGGTTCCTCCGCGTCCTTTAACCGTGAAAGTTGGGGCCATGGGACCTTGAGGGTGGCCTCGTAGAGATACATGCTCCTGTCCTGCCTGGGGAAGCCTGGGGGTCTTGTGCTCCATGAACTCCCGCGAGAGGATTCTGTCTGGGGGTGATGTCCTTGCGGACCTGTGGGCGATCACGCCTCCCCCAAGCTCATCACGGTCCTCAGACACGCAGCGGAGCGCAGAGCCCGGAGCCTCGGGAGCTGCCTGGGAGGGAGCGTCTTTCCCACCAGGAGCCTTGAGGCCAGGTTCCTCAGCAAGGTGGTTGTCTAATTATCCCAGCCACATGGGGTCCAAACAAGTCGTGAGTTTTAAGAAGAGAAAATAGCAAACATATGGCTGGGCGTCTATCAGTCAGGCTCTGACACAGACCCGCACGCTGGCTGCGTGTCCCGCACAGCCAGGGGCTGAGAAGAGAGCGTGAGCTTGGAATGGGGCCCGAGCGCCCTGCGTGTCTTAACGAAGCGCATCCGTTTCAGCTGTAGATTGTTCGCAGTGTTTAATGTTAAAATTTTAAAAAAGAAAAACCGGTGTCTTTTGTACTATTTCCTTCGAAGATAAAAATTAAAACGCTCTCCTCTCCCCTCTTTCAGCGCGGATCCTGGCTCTTCAGACAGTCCTGCGCCTCTAAAGCGAGTGGCTTCCCCGGCGGCCAAGCCGGCCCTCTCGGGAGAAGGTGAGAGCCCGCGTCTAACTGCCCTTTGGGGGCGGGCAGCTGGGAGCACCTGCAGCCAGTGTGCGCGACCAGCCTGGGTTTCACTTCAAAGCAGACGGCATTCATTTGTGTTCACTAGATTAACCTCTCAGGTAAGTGGCTCTTTATGGAGACTTTCGAAATACTGCCAGATGCATCGACCATAAACTGCATTGTCTCATCATGTTTGATTAGAGCCCTTTGGCTTTTGAAAGCCCATCTGCGTCCCAGAGGGTCCGGTTTCTGAGCACGGTGGCAGCTGATGGTAGACATGGCTGCTCTGGACGTGGACAGGAGGTTAAACTGTAGCTCCCCGTCTGGCAGACTGTCCCAGCGACGCCAGCATTACCTGTACTGTCCCAGATGGAGCCCAAGTTCAGTTTCCAGGTTCCATGGAAGTAACCACACCAGCTTATTTAGGCCTAAAGTTGCATGTTATTACATAACAAGCGGGTGCTTTATTTCCTGGTCTTTGCTTCATGACATAACCGTAAGGATGCATGGGCCGCTGCCTGACGCGGGTTTAAAAGTGAACGAAGCCCGTCTTACTCAGGTTCCCGCGGGAAAACCTCAGCCTGTCGGGCTCTCAGTGTTAGCCGGGCCCTCATGGCCGCCCTGAGCAGCGTTGGTGGCTGCCCAGTGTCTGCCCGCTGCATAGTAAACGTCCCTGGGCCCCTTGGATACAGGAGAGGAGGACAGAATGTTTTATGTAGCGTGTGTGCCATCAGGAGGTGGTTGTGTTCCTCGGGGGCGTTGGCTTATGAAAAACAGAATTATTGAAGCAGTTGTTTCCATGGAGACAGCAAGGGTTAAGGTTAATGATACTTCAGACTCACAGTTACCAAGTGGCTTTTTCAAGAGGAGTTTTAGAGGCACGTTTCTTTAAATGTATAGGTTAGTGATGGAAGCTCACTCATCACTAGACACAGCCAGCGTGTTAGCGCATCCTTTTTTTTTTGCTGTTACCACCAGAACAGTCATCAGCATAGTTCTCTTTACCCACGCTCTTCAGCCTAATGGTTTCTTTATCCACTGTTAGGAGAACGGGGCAAACAGCTCTTACACGCTCCCCAAGTTCAAGGTGTGGTGCCAGCTGAGTCTCACTGAGCGCCCTCCCCTGGTAACCTTACAGGGTTGGTCTGGCCCCCTTCCTGCAGCGGGAGGAGGAGATGACAGGGCTATGCGATCACATGTGTGAGGGTTTGAGAATAAAGGTCAGTGACGCCTGCTGCCTCGGCCTCTTTTGCTGCTTTCCTGGTTGTTGCCGGAGCGCGCCCGCAGCTGCGGATGAGACCTGCACAGAGGCCTCAGTGAGCAGGCCACCGCCGAACCCCACACATTTGAGCACGGGTGACGTTTACTCCCTCCGCGGGAGATGATTTACGGGTGACGTTTACTCCCTCCGCGGGAGATGATTTGCATATTAGAAACGCATGCACTGGGAGAGTGCTGGCATCTCCGGCGGGAGGACATTGGCTTCTGAGATTCTGAGACAAGCTCTTACCAATACTAATGGGCTGCTTGTTATACTGCATTAAACATCGCCAAATCTAAATAGACCCTAAGCCAGATTAAATAGATCGCCAGTGTGGGTAGGTCTTAAAATAGTGGCCTGGGAATAGCCAGCACCCGTGTTAAATGTCCAGAAGGGTCCGGGTGGGTGCCGCTGTGTGTCCTCACGTCCCCGCAGGTCCCTGTGCGTGGAGGGCGAGGGCAGCCACGTGCTGCGGCCTCCTCCAGCCCCTACACCCGCTGCTCGGCTGACTGCGGCCGGGGTCGTGCTGCTAAAGTTTCTCAGGCACTTTGAGAGCTGCTTCAAAATTTGGGTCCGTTTTGGAGAAAGTGCCTTTTAAGCGCAGGGACCACTGAGAAAGCATTGCTTGCCCCGTCACCGTGCGGAGCGGCAGGGCGTGGGGTGGTTACCCTATCTGAGGCGGCCAGACATGAGCTAGGCACAAGGAACAGAGCAAAGTGGAAAGGGAAGGTCAGAACAGAGACCAGAGAGGGCTGCGCTAACGGGAAAAGAACGTCCTATTAGAGCTGCCGACCTTGGCTTCCTCCCGCGGGACCATTTCTCCGGTTTGAACGATGGAGGAGGCGCTGCCAGCACCAAAGGCTAAAGACAGGGCGCCCCCGCTCTCCTGGCACATTTGGGGGCCTCGGGTGTGCCGTGGGCCCGCGGCCAGAGCCTGGAGGTGAAGCAGCCTGGAGCCTCCCCCACGGGGAGCTGCCCACAGGAGCGCAGTGGGCTCCATGTCTGGTGGTGGCTTTAGCCCCACCAGCGCCTCCTGCCGAGGCCCCTCCCCCGCAGTTCCCTGCCTGCTGGTTAGCGCCAGGCTCGGCAATTAAGGCGTCATCCGAAGTTCTAGCAAGGAGCACAGTGTCCCTCATAAATGTGAACTTTGGGTCACAGTGTGATTTTTTTTTATTGGTTAAAAATATATAAATGCTTAGGGCGAATGGAGCAAAGGTAGGAAAAATCTTTTGCCCCTTACTTAGTTTAGCGTCTAGGATTTGTGCCTGGTGATCCTCCTTAGCACGTGGCGTGGTCTCGAAGCTGTTTATAATGAAAACGCAGAACTTCCTCCGCAGTACACTCCCTTCCCACTCAAGACGGTAGAGAACGTTGGCTCTTATTCTTAAGACTAAATTACATGAATAATAAAGTGTAAGAAACTGATTTTTCTCTTCAATTGGTTCCAAAAGGCTTGATTATTTCTGGAATTGGCCACACACTGCTTTCATCGTCACTGGGAAAGCATTGCTTGCCGAGGACCTATCTTGGGTGTCCAGACATGAGCTAAGGCACAAGTAACTGAGCAGAATGGAGCGGGAAGGTCAGAACAGAGAGACCCAGAGAGGACGATGCTAATGGGAAAGGCCGTCCTTCCCAAAGCTGCCAGACTGGGCTTCCTCGTGGGGAAACCCTTCTACCCGTGTGCACTTGAATGAAATAATGTGTATTTTTTACTCTGTGTTCTAACAGCTTCCTGCCATTTGTGCGTATGGCACAGTAGGACAAAAATTTTCATTCAGGCCCCGAATAATGAAAAGCGTGCCTTATTTGATTGCATGAAGGACATACTACTGTATCTAAAAGTTGACTAGGATTGTGACTGGGTCCACTCAGGCATCTGGTGGGCACACCGTGCTCAGTAAG